TGTATAATAACTATATTAAGACTGATTACATTTCTCGTTGTACGCATTTTATATCTATAATGGCGAGCATCGTAGACTACTTTCTCTTTTTAATTCATCTTATTTTATTTTATTTTATTTCATTGAATATTTATTTAGACGCCTTAGACGCCACTTTGATGACATAGATGAAACTCTAATACATTTATCTTCTAAATATTTCGGAGCCAGACCTTTCAAACTTTCAAATACCATTACACCCAACTTGAACATGATTCTTCTTTTAACATGCAGCCAATGAAACTCCTTTAGGATTGGTGATGCACGATCAAATTTTAATTTGAGGCATATCATTCTAACAGCCTGGTTCTGAACCATCTGAAGTTTAAACAACAGTTTATCAGCTATACCACACAGAAGAATGTTACAATAATCCAATCTAGAGTTGACGAAAGTATGTACTAATAATAATCTCATTGCATCTCTATCAACAGATTTTGTAACTTGGCGTAACTGATGTAGTTGGGACATATAATTTTTAACCCATAGACTGACTTGTGGACCCATTGCCATACAAAAGTCCATCACAATTCCCAAATTGGTGACCGTTTTACTGAAACTTATATCAGTCATACTTGAGGCACCCCTGACGTAAGTTTTATTGGTCCTGAGAGACCACCTGAGTAAGAAATCTGCTGAGTCCGACCAGTAAGAAATGATTCGAACCACGTTAACGCAATCTTATTTAAACCATAACAATATTTCAGTCTGTCTGTTCACAGTATCGAACGCCGAACTCATGTCCAGGAATGTCAACAAAGTTACTTTTTGTACACTAACTGCTGAATAAACATAAGAGAATATATCCGATAGAGCTGTTTCGGTCGAATGAAACCTTCTATGCCCAGATTGATGCATAGGCCAAATACCATTTTAAATTTTTATAGGGTTATTCAAAACTAACTCAACAGAACGTTCTATAACCTTAAAAACAAAAGACAAATTTGACACCGGCCTATAGTTTATCAGATCTGATTAATCTATTCCTGACTTCTTTAGAATTGGCGTGACAATTACATGCTTGCAAACCTGTGGCATTACACCCTTCGTTAAGCACATGTTGATTATGTCCGTTAAGTAGACAATAAAACCGACAGCATATTCTTTGAATACATGCGTCGGTATTGGGTCTAGTGAGCATGACTTCGTAGGTGACGAATTAACAACTTTAGATATCTGTTCTTCAGTCAAGACTGGAAACGATTCGAATGGAAACATAATATTTTTGGTATTAGTGAAAATAACTGGAGAATTTTGTCAACTTTCTGGTCACTTTTAATTTGTCAGCAAAAAATTTCTCAAAATCATCGGCGCTCTGCATTGAACCAACTTCATTCTCAACACCTGTCTCATTTCCTAATAATTTATTAATCGCTTGCCATAAGTACTTGGAATTATTTTTGAAGGGACATATTTTCGCGAACCAGGAACTCCTTCGTTTCGCTGAGTAAAAAATATTTCATTGTTTCATTGCCAGTACCCAATCAACTTTATCATCATAACAACCAGTGTAGTTCTGAGTCTTCCTTCTTTCTCGACACATTTGCTTAGCCTTTTTGCAGTCACGGCATGTATGTATGTATGTACGTACGTACGTACATACACACACATACACACACACACACACATATACATACATACATACATACATACATACATACATACATACATACATACATACATACATACATACATACATACATACATACATACATACATACATACATACATACATACATACATACATACATACATACATACATACACACATACATACATACATACATACATACATACATACACACATACATACATACATACATACACACACACATACATACATACATACATACATACATACATACATACATACATACATACATACATACATACATACATATATACATACATACATACATACATACATACATACATACAAACAAACATACATACATAATT